CCCATTGCTGCTGTCTCATCGCCACACTCTGCCATGTGCCACTTTCAGGTCTCCTCACACACTGCTGGTGTGTTGGCAATTTTTTGACATAGGGTGCTGGCAGATTACGGGCCTCCCATAGCTGCTGCCAGGCCCCTAATATGCTGCCCCAGGGCTCCCATGGGCCCCGATCCTCACACTGCTGCTGCATAGGCCAGGCCCCCGGATCCCCCTCTGCTGCCATGCTCAATCAGGCCTCCATGGGGTCCCTGTACTGCCATCCATCCTGCTGTCCATCGCCACACTCTGCCATGTGCCACTTTCAGGTCTCCTCACACTGCTGGTGTGTTTCAATTTTTTGTCATAGGGTGCTGGCAGATTACGGGCCTCCCATAGCTGCTGCCAGGCCCCTAATCTGCCATGGGCCCCTATACCGCCGCCTCCTCATGCTGCTGCCAGGTCCAGAGTCTCTCATGGGTCCCTGTACGGCCTCCCATTGCTGCTGTCTCCATCGCCACACTCTGCCATGTGCCACTTTCAGGTCTCCTCACACACTGCTGGTGTGTTCAATTTTTTTTGACATAGGGTGCTGGCAGATTACGGGCCTCCCATAGCTGCTGCCAGGCCCCTAATCTGCCATGGGCCCCTATACCGCCTCCTCATGCTGCTGCCAGGCCAGAGTCTCTCATGGGTCCCTGTACGGCCTCCATTGCTGCTCTCATCGCCATGTGTGCCACTTTCAGGTCTCCTCACACACTGCTGTGTTCCATTTTTTGTCATAGGGTGCTGGCAGATTACGGGCCTCCCATAGCTGCTGCCAGGCCCCTAATCTGCCATGGGCCCCTATACCGCCTCCTCATGCTGCTGCCAAGTCCAGAGTCTCTCATGGGTCCCTGTACGGCCTCCCATTGCTGCTGTCTCCATCGCCACACTCTGCCATGTGCCACTTTCAGGTCTCCTCACACACTGCTGGTGTGTTCCATTTTTTGTCATAGGGTGCTGGCAGATTACGGGCCTCCCATAGCTGCTGCCAGGCCCCTAATCTGCCATGGGCCCCTGTACCGCCTCCTCATCATGCTGCCCAAGTCCAGAGTCTCTCATGGGTCCCTGTACGGCCTCCCATTGCTGCTGTCTCCATCGCCACACTCTGCCATGTGCCACTTTCAGGTCTCCTCACACTGCTGGTGTGTTCAATTTTTTGACATAGGGTGCTGGCAGATTACGGGCCTCCTCCCATAGCTGCTGCCAGGCCCCTAATCTGCCATGGGCCCCTATACCCGCCTCCTCATGCTGCTGCCAAGTCCCCAGGTCCAGAGTCTCTCATGGGTCCCTGTACGGCCTCCCATTGCTGCTGTCTCCATCGCCACACTCTGCCATGTGCCACTTTCAGGTCTCCTCACACACTGCTGGTGTGTTCCATTTTTTGTCATAGGGTGCTGGCAGATTACGGGCCTCCCATAGCTGCTGCCAGGCCCCTAATCTGCCATGGGCCCCTATACCGCCTCCTCATGCTGCTGCCAGCCAGGTCCAGAGTCTCTCTCCTCATGGGTCCCTGTACGGCCTCCCATTGCTGCTGTCTCCATCGCCACACTCTGCCATGTGCCACTTTTCAGGTCTCCTCACACACTGCTGGTGTGTTCAATTTTTTTGACATAGGGGTGCTGGCAGATTACGGGCCCCATATAGCTGCTGCCAGGCCCCTAATCTGCCATGGGCCCCTATACCGCCTCCTCATGCTGCTGCCAGTGCCATGGTCCCTGTACAGTGCTCTCCATGCCATGTGCCATGTGCCACTTCAGGTCTCCTCACACTGCTGGTGTGTGTCAATTTTTTGACATAGGGTGCTGGCAGATTACGGGCCTCCCATAGCTGCTGCCAGGCCCCTAATCTGCCATGGGCCCCTATACCGCCTCCTCATGCTGCTGCCAGGTCCAGAGTCTCTCATGGGTCCCTGTACGGCCTCCCTCCCATTGCTGCTGTCTCCATCGCCACACTCTGCCATGTGCCACTTTCAGGTCTCCTCACACTGCTGGTGTGTTCTTTTTTGTCATAGGGTGCTGCTGGCAGATTACGGGCCTCCCCATAGCTGCTGCCAGGCCCCTAATCTGCCATGGGCCCCTATACCGCCTCCCATAGCTGCTGCCAGGCCCCAGAGTCTGCCATGGGTCCCTGTACCGCCTCCTCATGCTGCTGCTCCATCCAGCCACACTCTGCCATGTGCCACTTTCAGGTCTCCTCACACACTGCTGGTGTGTTTCAATTTTTTGACATAGGGTGCTGGCAGATTACGGGCCTCCCATAGCTGCTGCCAGGCCCCTAATCTGCCATGGGCCCCTATACCGCCTCCTCATGCTGCTGCCAAGCCAAGTCCAGAGTCTCTCATGGGTCCCTGTACGGCCTCCCATTGCTGCTGTCTCCATCGCCACACTCTGCCATGTGCCCACTTTCAGGTCTCCTCACACACTGCTGGTGTGTGTTCAATTTTTTGTCATAGGGTGCTGGCAGATTACGGGCCTCCCATAGCTGCTGCCAGGCCCCTAATCTGCCATGGGCCCCCCTATACCGCCTCCTCCTGCTGCCAGTCCAGAGTCTCTCATGCCCTGTACGGCCTCCCAGCTGCTGTCCACATGTCACTCTGCCATGTGCCACTTTCAGGTCTCCTCACACTGCTGGTGTGTTCCATTTTTTTGACATAGGGTGCTGGCAGATTACGGGCCTCCCATAGCTGCTGCCAGGCCCCTAATCTGCCATGGGCCCCTATACCGCCTCCTCATGCTGCTGCCAGTCCAGAGTCTCTCATGGGTCCCTGTACGGCCTCCCATTGCTGCTGTCTCCATCGCCACACTCTGCCATGTGCCACTTTCAGGTCTCCTCACACACTGCTGGTGTGTTCCATTTTTTGTCATAGGGTGCTGGCAGATTACGGGCCTCCCATAGCTGCTGCCAGGCCCCTAATCTGGGCATGGGCCCCTGTGCTGCCTCCCTCATGCTGCTGCCAGGTCCATTGCTGCTGTCTCCATCACATCTGCCATGTGCCACTTTCAGGTCTCCTCACACTGCTGGTGTGTTCATTTTTTTGACATAGGGTGCTGGCAGATTACGGGCCTCCCATAGCTGCTGCCAGGCCCCTAATCTGCCATGGGCCCCTATACCTCCCTCCTCATGCTGCTGCCAGTCCAGAGTCTCTCATGGGTCCCTGTACGGCCTCCCATTGCTGCTGTCTCCATCGCCACACTCTGCCATGTGCCACTTTCAGGTCTCCTCACACACTGCTGGTGTGTTCAATTTTTTGACATAGGGTGCTGGCAGATTACGGGCCTCCCATATAGCTGCTGCTGCCAGGCCCCTAATCTGCCATGGGCCCCTATACCCGCCTCCTCATGCTGCTGCCAGTCCAGAGTCTCTCTCATGGGTCCCTGTACGGCCTCCCATTGCTGCTGTCTCCATCGCCACACTCTGCCATGTGCCACTTTCAGGTCTCCTCACACACTGCTGGTGTGTTTCAATTTTTTGACATAGGGTGCTGGCAGATTACGGGCCTCCCATAGCTGCTGCCAGGCCCCTAATCTGCCATGGGCCCCTATACCGCCTCCTCATGCTGCTGCCAGGTCCACAGTCTCTCATGCCATGTCCCTGTAGGTCTCCCACACTGCTGCTGTGTTCCATTTTTTGACATAGGGTGCCATGTGCACTTACAGGTCTCCTCACACTAGCTGCTGCCAGTGTTCCTTTTTTGCATATGGGCCCCAGATTACGGGCCTCCTCATAGCTGCTGCCAGGCCCCTAATCTGCCATGGGCCCCTATACCGCCTCTGCTGCTGCAGTCCAGAGTCTCTCATCATGGGTCCCTGTACGGCCTCCCATTGCTGCTGTCTCCATCGCCACACTCTGCCATGTGCCACTTTCAGGTCTCCTCACACTGCTGGTGTGTTTCATTTTTTTTGACATAGGGTGCTGGCAGATTATTATCCCTCCCATAGCTGCTGCCAGGCCCCTAATCTGCCATGGGCCCCTATATACCGCCTCCTCATGCTGCTGCCAAGTCCAGAGTCTCTCATGGGTCCCTGTACGGCCTCCCATTGCTGCTGTCTCCATCGCCACACTCTGCCATGTGCCACTTTCAGGTCTCCTCACACTGCTGGTGTGTTCATTTTTTGACATAGGGTGCTGGCAGATTACGGGCCTCCCATAGCTGCTGCCAGGCCCCTAATCTGCCATGGGCCCTATACCCGCCTCCTCATGCTGCTGCCAGGTCCAGAGTCCATGGGTCCCTGTACGGCCTCCCATTGCTGCTGTCTCCATCGCCACACTCCATGTGCCACTTTCAGGTCTCCTCACACTGCTGGTGTGTTCAATTTTTTGACATAGGGTGCTGGCAGATTACGGGCCTCCCCATAGCTGCTGCCAGGCCCCTAATCTGCCATGGGCCCCTATACCGCCTCCTCATGCTGCTGCTGCCAGAGTCCAGAGTCTGTCATGGGTCCCTGTACGGCCTCCCATTGCTGCTGTCTCCATCGCCACACTCTGCCATGTGCCACTTTCAGGTCTCCTCACACTGCTGGTGTGTTCCAATTTTTTGACATAGGGGCAGATTACGGGCCTGCTGGCAGATTACGGGCCTCCCATAGCTGCTGCCCAGGCCCCTAATCTGCCATGGGCCCCTATACCCTCCTCATGCTGCTGCCAAGTCAGAGTCTCTCATGCTCCCTGTACGGCCTCCCATTGCTGTCTGTCTCCATGCGCCACACTCTGCCATGCCACTTTCAGGTCTCCTCACACTGCTGGTGTGTTTCAATTTTTTGACATAGGGTGCTGGCAGATTACGGGCCTCCCATAGCTGCTGCCAGGCCCCTAATCTGCCATGGGCCCCTATACCGCCTCCTCATGCTGCTGCCAAGTCCAGAGTCTCTCATGGGTCCCTGTACGGCCTCCCATTGCTGCTGTCTCCATCGCCACACTCTGCCATGTGCCACTTTCAGGTCTCCTCACACACTGCTGGTGTGTTCAATTTTTTGACATAGGGTGCTGGCAGATTACGGGCCTCCCATAGCTGCTGCCAGGCCCCTAATCTGCCATGGGCCCCTATACCGCCTCCTCATGCTGCTGCCAGGTCCAGAGTCTCTCATGGGTCCCTGTACGGCCTCCCATTGCTGCTGTCTCCATCGCCACACTCTGCCATGTGCCACTTTCAGGTCTCCTCACACTGCTGGTGTGTTCAATTTTTTGACATAGGGTGCTGGCAGATTACGGGCCTCCCATAGCTGCTGCCAGGCCCCTAATCTGCCATGGGCCCCTATACCGCCTCCTCATGCTGCTGCCAAGTCCAGAGTCTCTCATGGGTCCCTGTACGGCCTCCCATTGCTGCTGTCTCCATCGCCACACTCTGCCATGTGCCACTTTCAGGTCTCCTCACACTGCTGGTGTGTTCCATTTTTTGTCATAGGGTGCTGGCAGATTACGGGCCTCCCATAGCTGCTGCCAGGCCCCTAATCTGCCATGGGCCCCTATACCGCCTCTCATGCCTCCTCATGCTGCTGCCAGCCAGTCCACGAGTCTCTCATGGGTCCCTGTACGGCTCCCATTGCTGCTGTCTCCATCGCCACACTGTGCCACTTTCAGGTCTCCTCACACACTGCTGGTGTGTTCCATTTTTTGACATAGGGTGCTGGCAGATTACGGGCCTCCCATAGCTGCTGCCAGGCCCCTAATCTGCCATGGGCCCCTATACCGCCTCCTCATGCTGCTGCCAGGTCCAGAGTCTCTCATGGGTCCCTGTACGGCCTCCCATTGCTGCTGTCTCCATCGCCACACTCTGCCATGTGCCACTTTCAGGTCTCCTCACACACTGCTGGTGTGTTTTTTTTTGACATAGGGTGCTGGCAGATTACGGGCCTCCCATAGCTGCTGCCAGGCCCCTAATCTGCCATGGGCCCCTATACCGCCGCCTCCTCCTCATGCTGCTGCCAGGTCCAGAGTCTCTCATGGGTCCCTGTACGGCCTCCCATTGCTGCTGTCTCCATCGCCACACTCTGCCATGTGCCACTTTCAGGTCTCCTCACACACTGCTGGTGTGTTGAATTTTTGACATAGGGTGCTGGCAGATTACGGGCCTCCCATTGCTGCTGCCAGGCCCGTAATCTGCCATGGGCCCCCGTACCGACTCCTCATGCTGTGACGTTGCAACAAGGTGGAATTCAACCCTACATATGTTAGACCGCCTTTACGAACAGCAAAAGGCCATCACAGATTTCCTGATGTTAAAAGCGGATAAAGGTACTCCCTGTGTAACTTAGATGTCAGCCATTGGCAGCTCATGCGTGACACCTGCGCTTGCTCAGGCCCTTTGAGGAGGCCACGCTATTCGTGAGTCGGCAGGACTATGGGATGAACGACGTCATTCCTCTGTTGCACGTCCTGGAACAAATGCTGTTAACAATGGCTGGTCAGGGTGCGGTAGACGTGGCGCACAGATCTCAACGCCACATGACCCCTGTGGGGGCAGGACAGGAAGAAGAGGAGGAGGTAGAGGAGGACATTGGTGCTCAGGAATTATTGAGTGAAATGGGTGGTTTTTTTCCACTCAGCGGACAGGAGTGGAGGAGCAGGAGCATCTGGTAGAGGAGGAGGAAGAGGAGACAGAGGACCCAGACGCACCGTGGCAGTATGCTGTGGAGATGGAGGCAGGGAGTCCCTCGCATTCCTTGGCACAAATGGCCCATAGCATGCTCGCTTGCTTGCGTACCGACAGCCGAATAATAACCATCAGACAGAGGGATGACTTTTGGCTGTCCACCTTGTTGGACCCTCGCTACCGTTCAAAAATGGTGGCCTTTTTCACACCTGCTGAGAGGGAGGCCAAAATAACGTACTATAAAAACCACCTATGTAGTCAGCTGGTCTCTGCCTGTCTGCGCCAACGTCCATCCTCAGACACTGTGGGCCCTGTGCGCTCGCGCGTTCCGCTGCCATGGCAGCAGGGGAGGGGTGGGGTGGTAGGAGCAGTGGCAGCTCCACCAGCAGCAGCTGCCTCAGTCTGCAGTCGATGATGAGTAGCTTTCTTCACCAGCGCAGTGAGGAAACTACTAACCAGCCGCAGCAGCAGCAGCAGCAGCAGCATCAGGTGGACCTGGAGCAGGACCTCAAACAACAGGGCTTAGGCCTACTTGGACAGCACCCTGCCAACCGAGGTAGACAATCCCCTTGACTACTGGGCAACGAAACTTGACCTTTGGCCCCAACTAGCTGAATTTGCCCTTGAAAGGCTGTCATGCCCGGCCAGTAGCGTGGCATCGGAGCGCGTGTTTAGTGCGGCAGGAGGTATTGCAACTCCGCGGAGGAGGACACGACTGTCCACCCAAAGTGTGGAGAGACTCACGTTTGTGAAAATGAATCAGGCGTGGATTAGTCTGGATTTCAAACCACCAGTTCCTGACACAACTGACTAAATCCGCCATGAATCATGCCCCAAACATGTGCCACTTTCAGGTCTCCTCACACTGCTGGTGTGTTCCATTTTTTGTCATAGGGTGCTGGCAGATTACGGGCCTCCCATAGCTGCCCCTAATCTGCCATGGGCCCCTATACCGCCTCCTCATGCTGCTGCCAAGTCCAGAGTCTCTCATGGGTCCCTGTACGGCCTCCCATTGCTGCTGTCTCCATCGCCACACTCTGCCATGTGCCACTTTCAGGTCTCCTCACACTGCTGGTGTGTTCCATTTTTTGTCATAGGGTGCTGGCAGATTACGGGCCTCCCATAGCTGCTGCCAGGCCCCTAATCTGCCATGGGCCCCTATACCGCCTCCTCATGCTGCTGCCAGGTCCAGAGTCTCTCATGGGTCCCTGTACGGCCTCCCATTGCTGCTGTCTCCATCGCCACACTCTGCCATGTGCCACTTTCAGGTCTCCTCACACTGCTGGTGTGTTCCATTTTTTGTCATAGGGTGCTGGCAGATTACGGGCCTCCCATAGCTGCTGCCAGGCCCCTAATCTGCCATGGGCCCCCGTACCGACTCCTCATGCTGCTGCCATGGGCCCCTGTACTGCCTCCTCATGCTGCTGCCAGGTCCAGAGTGTGTCATGGGTCCCTGTACGGCCTCCCATTGCTGCTGTCTCCATCGCCACACTCTGCCATGTGCCACTTTCAGGTCTCCTCACACTGCTGGTGGTTTCCATTTTTGTCATAGGGTGCTGTATGGCCTCCCATTGCTGCTGCCTCCACCGCCACACTGTGGCTCCACACTCTGGTTTTGGCCCCGTGACTTTCCAAATGAGTGAAGTGTGCGGTGATTCTAAGATCGACGGCACTCATCTGCATGTCATACTGACTGTCAGTATTATTTCTCTTCCCCAGCAGACTCCAAGGGCATTTAAATTAAAGGTACAGTGTTCTGCACTAATATAAAGGCTCTCTGAAGCCTAGAAACACCCTTTTATAAGTTAAATTCGCAGCGAATATATTCGACTCGAATCGAAATTTTTCCACGAATTCGCCGAATCAGTCGAATCGAATTTTTGAATACTTCGCTCATCTCTAATTATAGTCAAGTTATGCAATATAGTTGCTGTAACATATTTATGGTAATGATTTGAAAACAATGTAAAAATCATGCCTGTGCTTGACAAAAGTTAACAACTCCAGGCAGCGATCATCCAATGTGGTTATAGGCATCTTAGAAGATTAGAGCAAAAATACAACTACCATATTTTCTGGCGTATAAGACGACTGGGCGTATAAGATGACCCCCTACTTTTCTTGTTAAAATATAGTGTTTGGGCTATACTCACCGTATAAGACTACCCCTCTTCCAACGCACACCAAATAAAAATTAAAAACATCAGATTTGATTTCAATATGGTATGGTATTCCAATAATGGGGCACGATTCCTCGCTCTGACACCAATGATGGGGCACAATTCCTCCCATTGACACCAATGATGGGGCACTATTCCTCCCACTGACACTATTCCTCCCATTGACACCAATGATGGTGCCCCATCATTAGTGTCAGTGTGTGAGGAATAGTGTCCCATCATTAGTGTCAGTGGGAGGAATAGCGCCCCATCATTGGTGTCAGAGCGAAGAATCGTGCCCCATCATTGGTGTCAGTGGGAGGAATAGCATTGGTGTCAGTGGTATCAGGAATAGCGCCCCATCATTGGTATCAGTGGGAGGAATCGTGCCCCATCATTGGTATCAGAGCAACGAATCGTGCACCATCATTGGTGTCAGTGGGAGGAATAGCACCCCATCATTGGTGTCAGTGGGAGGAATAGCACCCCATCATTGGTGTCAGTGGCCCCATCATTGGTGTCAGGAATCGTGCCCATCATTGGTGTCAGTGGGAGGAATAGCGCCCCATCATTGGTGTAAGTGGGAAGAATCGTGCCCCATCATTGGTGTCAGTGGGAAGAATCGTGCCCCATCATTGGTGTCAGTGGGAAGAATCGTGCCCCATTATTGGTGTCAGTGGGAGGAACAGCGCCCCATCATTGGTGTCAGGGGGAGGAAATAGCGCCCCATCATTGGTGTCAGGGGGAGGAATAGCACCCCATCAATGGTGTCAGTGGGAGGAATAGCGCCCCATCATTGGTGTCAGTGGGAGGAATAGTGTCCCAACATTGGTGTCAGTGGGAGGAATAGTACCCCATCAGTGGGGAGAGGAATAGTGCCCCATTGTTGGTGTCAGTGGGGGGGAGGAATAGTGCCCCATCGTTGGTGTCAGAGGGAGGAATAGTGCCCCATCGTTGGTGTCAGTGGGAGGAATAATGCCCCATCATTAGTATCAGTGACACCAATGATGGGGCACTATTCCTCCCACTGACACCAATGACACTTGCTGATCCCTGTTCCAGTATGGTGCTGCTGCAGCCAGTATATGTGGTTGCAGCAGCACCTCTGCACTGCACACTTATCAGCTTCTCCCTCACTCGATTTTCGCGGGTCCGCTCAGCTCCGCCTCCTCGCCCATGATTGGCCGCCTGTATGCCTTTCCTGAGCTACAGTTCTGGCGCCCAATCACCGGTGAGGAGGCGGAGCCGAGCAGGAGTGAGGGAGTGGCCGGAGTGACTGAAGGAGCAGCGCTTCCTGGACTGGATCGTCGTGGGAGCCAGGTAAGAGACAGCAGCCCTCTGCCCATCCCTGTACTTAGTGTCCCTTCCGTCGGAAAAAGTGCCACCCTGACGTATACCGGCGTATAAGACGACCCCCGACTTTTGAGAAGATTTTC